ATATATATATATATATTGCGGCTCAAATCTACGTCTACGTCCACCGCGCTTGGCCGCGAGACGCCGGAGGCACTTGATGAGTCACGAAGACAAATCGCAAGTGAGAAGGGATCAGGACAGTGCCACAGCTGGGGGATGCATCGCCAGCGAGCATTCCTGCAGCTGCGACCACGGGCAATCTGCCGGGCTTCCCTCCCCGTCTCAATGCAGCCGAAACAAGCGTGGCTTGACTCCATGGGTGTTTCACCATGGCTCGACCCGCGGCTCCCAAAGCTTCCGGCAGGATCCTATACCACAAACCTCTTAGCGATGGCCTCCACCCTCCTAGCGATGGCCTCCAGCCAAATAGTGCTTGTTTTCACCAGTTCGTAAGTTCTTGTTTGGGATACGATCAAGAGCTGCCCACAACGAGTTCCACCAGCACGAGTCCAGTCCCACATGTCGTTCTCGAACATCCTCGTCTCTTGCCTTGAATTCGTGACACTACAGCCATCTACTAATTATTCAACAGCCATCTACAGCCTTGAATTCGTTATCTATTAGCCTATTTATTCATGCCATTGTCATCCCTATACTAGCTATGATGTGGAATGTGTCAAAACTCTTAATCTTTGGATTCCTCTCAATCGAAACTCCTGAAACAGGCGGCTAGCTAGTTAGCTGGGTCAGCGAGCAACCGACGCCCACCGTCCGAGGCTCTGAGCAACTTGGACTTTCCACTGCCGGCGGGGCCTTTGACGGCCACCAACTTGCCCTGACGGGAGAGGGGGAGAGTCCGACCGACGGGAGAGGAGAAGTGGCCCGTTCAGTGTCACTCGGTTTTGTGTCCCATATGACGAAATCAGAGATTGCTTCGAGATCTTATAAGCTTAACTTACCTAACTCATGGATTGTTCCGAATTCCACAAGAGTGGCAAAGTGACCAAAGTCTCCTACTTGAGAGGGTTCATGAGACTGATAGAGAGTAGGACGTCATAAAACTGCCCATATCTGGGCTTCTTTCTTCCCAAGTCCGTAGCATGGGTTTCCCCCAATGTTGGTGTCTATAGTGGTACGAGTACTTGCCGTCCTGAACAATTCGTTGGGGAATCCGTCTCAACCAAACCACCAAAAGCATTCAACCTGTGGTTGGGTCCAAAAAGTTTGCAGTTTCGTCCTGTAGATGCTTATGCTGAGGCATGCATGGCTTAATCTTTGAGACAGGCATATGACTCCTGGCCGGCCGGCCGCCCAGTTTCTTCCGATGCCTACTTAGATGCCTTAGGGCGCTTCTGAGAAAAAACACACTTCACTTCGAGTGTCTGTCTCTGTGGAAGTCACTCCGTTTTGGGCGTGTGGTTTTGCGGAAGTCCGACGGAAGAATTCCCATTCATAGGACGCAACTAATCCTTGCAATGCCTGGGCACATCTGATACCAACACTGATGCAAACAATGTTCTGAACAAAAAGTAATCAATGTCAATTAGGTCAAGTCGGACCAAGTCGAAGGCACATCTGGTGATTCCAAAGAGCACGTGCTGCCACTAAAAGCCAAGCCACAAGACTTTCAAGATCTTAAGACCTAACTTTTTGAACCAAACAAAACTCGCAACTCCAACATACCTCGTTGGATGTCGAGATTGCGCGCGGTCCGGCCACCGGTGTCCCAAACACCGCTCCGCTTGGAAAGCCGCGGAGAGCGAAGCCTGCGCTGCGGTGAGGTTGATCTCGCGAAAGAGATGCCGCTGACCGTCCTGAGACCCAAATCTGCTCCAGTCCAAGGCGTTTGAGTTTAGGGTTTGGTGGATCTCTCAACCTCTCATGAATGGTTTCAATCAGTTTCAGTCAGTTGTTTGTTCTGTGAAAGGCTCCCCAAAAGCCTCATGACCTAATACAAATGCAGCGTCCTCTTCAGGATGTTCATGGTTTCCGGGGTCGCTGAATACAGGAACCTGAACATGAGGCACTGAAACATCACCACAAGAACACTAGACGTGAGTGGACTCTGAGTTGACCGTGAGTTGGATGCCCAAATCCCATGCAAAACCCACTTCCAGTCATCCCGCGAAGAAAAGCCGACCGAAATCGTGCCTTCAGCGCCAAGTGGCAGGGAAGAGATTGTTTTCGTCCAAGTGATCCAGCTGCAAGCCGATATTCTCCAAGCCTTGGACCAGATTTTCCATGCAAGCCGATATGTCCATGTCTTTTCGATTCAGCAAGCACAGGCACCCATATAAAATTATATAACTATATAAATTCTACGGAAACCTGCTCATCGCTTGGAACTTGTTAGCACCCAAAAAATAGAGAATCCCTCCACACAGTCCTGGTTTTCACCGAGTGATGCTTCTCTTTTCCGTGACATGTATTACACCACCCTCAGCTCCACCAGGACCGGTCAAGAACACCGTCGCAGGGTCGGTCAGTACAGGTCTCCACTCAACAAATAAAGCCTTAGACTATCTTAATCAATTCGATGAAATGACAAAGCCTCAAAGAGAAAGAATCAAGGGGAAGGCCTGCCAAGTAAACAATGAATGTGAACTTAAATATGCTTCACAGGTTCAAACGCCGCTGACAATTGCCGACATATGTTGTTCATCATGATGTCACTAAGTGATGATTGTATAATTTGTCAGGTGCCCAAGAATGTGAGCACTTTGCAGTGCAGGGCGCTGCCGCAAACGCTGCTGTAACAGTCCGCAGCGGGGTACTCTAACCCACGCAGTGGATCCAATTGCCCTATACAAAAGCAACTGGACGTCAAAAGGAGTCAAAAAGGAGTCCCTTATACAATCAACAAATAATCTGATATATAAATACATATAATCATACTTATATGTACTTATATATGAATGTATATATTGGGCAACTGTAACTGCGTTTGACTGATTTCTACTGAGCACACAGCAGTCAATTGCAAGCAAACTGGAGAAGAGGGGACACTGAATGCTTAACAAAAGACATATATAATGTTGGACAACAACCAGGATTATCCACTGAGGACTTATTCAACGAAATGCCAACAAACAGGGAATATCTATCCACTTCACTTGTCACCAGCTGCTGGCACTTTGATTGGACCGCGGCCATCTTGTCGTCTTGCCAGCACCGTTTCATTCCGAAGATCGTTTCATTCGTCTGGGGCCAGGGGCCACCGGGGCGGGCCGACGCCCGTTCTTCGTCCCGTTCGACGCGGTTCGCCGTCCAAGACTTCAAACCGACGAACCGCGGCGGATGGGGATTTCCATGAGCCCCCAACCCAGGGAGACACCGGACCCTTTCATTACCAGTTGGGGAGGGTTTGATCACGCAATTTGGGCGCCCAGCGGCGGATGGGGATCAAATCGGTGCGGAAGTCTGCCTCATCCAGGCTAGTTTGTGGCAGGGACATCAGTTGGCGACGGCGTTGGATCGTCTCTTCCACGCGGTAGTCCACGAAACCTGGAGCGAGAGGCCGGAAGGGATGTAGCAAAGTCATGCAAAGTCTTCTTTTTAAGATCTCTGTCAGGCCTGTTGGATTTCGATTTCGGGTTCAAGTGAGGACCTGCACTGAAAGAGCTCCAGACGATCCTCGGTTTGGGACTGTTTGGCTTTCTTTTTGATTGATGTTTATATATCCCCCTTACTTGTTGCATATCGGCTGAAAGATTGCATTTTATGGAGAATTATGTCTATGAAATGAGTATACAGGGAATATTCCATGTATGGAGTATTTTTAAAACATTGTTTTAGATCTACAGGATGGAGATGATTGAGATTGCTTGAGTCTGCCCGCCTACCACCAAACCTGTGTCGGTGCTTCTGGTGCCCCTTACGAGGATGCTCTATGCCACACAACATCTATGAACTCACTTCCGGGCGGAGTATCAGTCCAACTGTGCATGGAAGCCTTCTCAAGAAGAAGCAAGCACATTAGTGTAAGCAATGCTACGAAGACTATATCTATTTGATTCTCTTTGGGCTATCTAGTGGCCGGTGTCGAAGCCAACATCTCACTGACACCAGTTGGCTTTCTGACAGTCTGCTAATGTGTTTGGCAAACTTGACTCTTTCCACATTCATGATCGGTGGTGGTTTAAACTCAAACAAGCCTTCCCAGCCGATAATCCAAGAGGCTCTTCAGTAAGGGGACATCCGTCTTGCGATTGAGGAAGACGGTCAAGTCCACCTCGACGAGTCTTTCTGTCCAAGCTTCTCATTGACTTTGAACATATTTTAGTAATGTTTAATCAATAATATCAGCTGATCATCTATCTCTGTCTGTTTCTCCTCAAGCCTGTGTGGAGTGATCAGAAAAAAGTTACAAGAAACATCAAAGAAACTGGTTGATCCACGTCACCAAAGGTTCGAAGCAAGAGATGACCTTCTTCAGTCCGCTGTAGCCGTCCTCGAAGTTGGAACTGACTTCTTTGAAAACACCTGACGGGCAGTTGGGAGCAGCACTGGCCGCTAGCACTTCGGGAGCTACTGGGGAGCCACTTCAAGGATTTTGTATGGGGAAAGCGCCCCCCCCACACACAATCTGCTGGCTGCGTCAAGGGCTTGAGAGAACATCATGACACACAAGAAACTATACTCTCAAGAGAGGATTCATATGGATACACATTCAAGAATAGTCTGGTGGGTTGTGTCACCCACTGTCGCACCACAATGTGTGGAGATGGAGGTCAATTCTCTAATAGTAATCTGCGGCTTTTTTGGGAGTCGGCCTACCTTGTTGCCTCGCCGCTACCAACAAAAGGAGTCGGCCTGAGAGGCGGGCCTGGTCAATTGGACTGTCTACCCAACTTCCTACAAAGCTCACAGACTCATAGACTTGAGCTGAAGCTGAACATCCGGCTGAGGCACTGATGGTTGCGAGAAAGGTGCCCAAAGGAAGCTCTTTGGAAAGCACCAAGGGCGAGTAAAAAGCCATGTAGAGCCCCACAAACAAAGGGCCAAGCCAGCCTGATTGGTGGACAGCCTTCCAAATAAGATCTGTTTCTAGTTTCTAGCAAATATGTTTTCTAGAATTTTCTAAACGTAATTACAGCATATATATATAGCTATATTTGGTAGTCAATCATTCCCAACTGGAAATGGTCAACACACACCGAAAACGTGCATACCTAAACCGCAAACCCAGCAGCTGAAAAAGAATTCGCTGTTCATCTTGTAGAGTCGCTCCTCATCACGGCAAGAAAGGATCCATGTCAACCGGCAAAGTCCAATTTCACCGCGCCAGCTTCGGATTCATTTGGCCCACCTAGGAGGTCCATAATATTGTTCATTGAACCACTTCTACAAACCTCACCCCACGATGTGGTCGAAATGAGCCTTCTGAAACGAAACCTTGATTCTCATTCATTTTGCTTCTGACCGGAAACTTGCCATTGGAATGGGACGATGTCTGCCAGGCAGGATTCTGGTGACTTACTAGCTCCTTGCAGGTTATGAGGTGTCCATTAACCACCCCTTAGGGGGCCCTGGTAGGTGTTTCCTCCATATTCTTATCCGGTTTGCAGTACCACGGACCCTTGGCCAACCCACCACCGCGGCGAACTCCGCCACGCCGCCGGAATCTCGTCGTCGTTGAACTTCTCCGCACGCGCGGCGAACTTCTCGTTCATGGTCGGGCGCTGAAAATAATGAGCGATGATTTGATAGCTATTGCCTCACGAAGTGAAGCATTTTCGGCGAAGCCGAGGCTTCGCAACAGGCCTCCAAATTTCGAGGATACCTCCTAAAGCCTAAAATGGCCTAAAGGATCCTAAAGGTATGGTCTAGTCCTGTAGGAGCTGCCACCTTGAGATCAAATGGTCAGCTTTGAGAAACCCTAGAAAGTTCCAAACCTCTGCCAAGCTGGGCAGGAGAGTTGCTGACATCTGCCACAAAGTTCGTGAGCAGCTTCTTTGATGGCTCTGGAGGTGCTTCACAAATGAGTTCGCTGTCCCGTATCACAGACCACAAGAGCATGACACCAGGCATGGTGACGACCTCGGGACGGCCAGGACCCGAGACAATTCATCCTGCAAACAAAACTTGGAGTGGTCAAGGTTCTTCTAGATACAAGATATTGTGACCACTTCCCCAGCTTTAGACTGCACCACAGTCCAGTCAATCTTCTGCACATGGAGCATTGCCATTCGATAACTCAGCAGGTACTAAGGCTGAGCTAGGGAACACAAGCCGAACAGCAGTCACTCGCTCGTGTTCTCACCATTCGCTCAAGAACCCTCTGAGGGTTGTTCCAACTGAGCGGATGTTCCATTTCCCCCGTGCGTCGTTACGCGTCCCTGTTCCCATATCCATCATGGTCACATGGTCCATTCCGAAGGTGGGACGATGCGGTGGGAACATCTCTCTCCAAACAATTGTGACCACAAAAACTACGGTAAATACATGGCTGGCTGGCTGGCTGCGATTAGGCGCAAATTCCGTCCAATGTGATTGCATAATAGATCAACATATCAACAATGGCCACAGCAGTCTCCCAACAGTAACCGGCAGTCTGAAGCCCTGCACACTTCCTAAACATTCTGAACCAATCCAAGCGTCTGCCCAGGTCATGTCTGGGTTGCCTTAGAAGGGCCAACACATGGATTGAAATACAGCCTGATTCCGAGCTGAACAAAGAAATCAAACGCAATGGGAAAACAGAAACAACTGGAGTGCCTGGGATCTTACACCCAAATTTTGAGCAGCGTTGTCTAAATGACAGCTAAGCTCTTTGTGGGAGAGACATCTAGCTCGGAGCGATTGTCGGGTGGCTGGAGATTGCGAAAGAGTTCAGCATCACCAGTTTGCCCAAGGTTTCCAGCAAAGCTGAGACTTCGCTAATGCCCCCTGCCAGGTCCTAAGGTTCCGTGGGGCCAACCCTTCGGGCTGAGAAGGTGGGAGTGAACAAGGCATAACAGGACTATGAGAAGAAGGACATGGAAAGGAGCCGAACCAGCACTGATGCGAATGAGCAAACAATAAGCAAACCAGTCTAGCCGCCTATAGCCCCAAGGTTGGACCCATCTATGAGCCCTGAAACCCAACAACCGGCATGTATCTGATATCTTTGTCTTGATGAGACAGCGATGGGGGGATGTTTCAATCCACCTCAGTGGCTGTGTGTAGCCCGAGCAGCCCAATGTATTTTGTGTCAGGTCCGGGTAGGGTAGAAGAAACGCTGCATGTAGTCATGTAGTGCATGTGTGCGAAGAAACGCTCGCAATCATATGTCGCAAGCGTCGTCATAAAAGTCCGTCGTCATATCGTCGCACGTATGAATAGGTGGTCCAAAACGAAACACTTTAGATCACCCGTACTTGGCATCCCCCAATCTCTGTGCATCATTTTGCCTTCGTCTCAGTGGAATATCCGGATGGCTCCCCCTACTTTTACCCTGCCCCTATCACCATTTCTTTGGATGAACTTCGCAGCATCACTCACTCCGCCGTGGGGGAATATGTTGGGAGAGACATCGGGGTCCTCCGTCTTCTTCATCACCGTGTTCACCAGCTCTGGCTGTGTCACGGCCTCGCGGGACTCGTCGCTGAAGTTCATGTACTTCCGCATCACCTGAGGTGATACACCCTGACGACACCGAAGAAGGCGCCCCGACAGGTGTGACCTTGGAAGGAGGGCCGAAAGCTTGGAGGTTTTTGTGTGGTGGGATTGACGTCTTGTTTTCTTTCCAAGTATATATTTCAGGAATCCTTGGGATGCATCCACGAAATCTGTTGGGGTAAACAGTTCAAAGGCGCAATTCCAACATTGCGGAAAAAAAAGGTAACATTAGACACTGCCACCTTCGATGACCATGCCCCTCAACCACGACTGATTACGAAGAGACACAGGCCAAAAAGAGCGGCCATTCTTTCCACCATGATCAACTCACCTGTGCCAAGCTCGGCCCTGATTGAAGGACATTCCCCAACTTCACACAATATCACAAAGTCCAAGGCTAGTCGGAGGACTGTGGGGATGGCGGGATCTGTTCAAAGATCAGTCACAGAAGTCTGCAAATAGACTTTGCTGCGGCCATTGAGGTCCAGGTTCACCCTGACCACCTTCCAAACATGGAGAAGCAAGGGTGAGAGCACGTACAACAGCCCGATGACCTGGCCGTGCGCTCAACATCGCGTGTGAAAAACAATGTTCATGGGAGGTTAGGGTTCTTCATTGTGATGCAGCTTAAACTGCACCTCCTGGAAGGCTTGCCAGATCCGAAAGTTCAAAGCAACAAACCCAATGGAGGGTTTGTTTGAACATCAGGAATGCCTGCCAACCATGGCACGACCAAACAAGATCTCTTGCTAGGTGGTGCTACTGACTCAACGGCGTGCTGATGATTAAGTTTTCCCTCATCACCTGAAAACTATGAAGCAATGGACCCCTGTGATGGGTTGGGTCCACTGTGCATGGGACTTCTGAAAAAGCTTGCCTGAACATGGCAAGAGTCCGTACGGCGCAACCAACTCTTTGGCTTCCTGCTTTTTGTCGATGAGATTCACCGGTTGAGCACCGATTCTTTTTCGATCGGCCCATGTAGACAGCAATGAGACAAAGGGTTTAGAGGCTCAGCTTCGCCCACCTCCGCCCACCAGCCCCGCCTGGGCCGTCTTGGCCGGATCCTCCGGGATCAAAAGCTCCGAGCGACGCCCTTCATCGTGGTCGAAGACCACGTTGACCATGTACACTGAGGAGGTGAGGGTGAACCAAACCTCGCGCTGGTGAGGCTGGTGAGGATTCAAGTGTGGATTTCAAGGGTCAACAACATCTCAACCATATTGCAATGTGATATCCAAACCAAGGAAACCTGGAATGAGAGAGAGAGAGGGAGGAGCAAACACAATATTACTGTAAACAAATCCCATGGAGTGGCTAGTCCCTACCGGATGCCAGTCCCTATCACCTTATCAGTCTCTACAAGGACAGGTTCTTGACACAACTCAGCCAAAGAAAGTCACAATGTTCTCATCATGTTTCGTAATCCTCCGTATTTAAACAAACAGTTCAAACAGCTCCACTTGAAGGGAGAAGTACACAACGCAACACACACACACACACACATGTCCATCGATGTCCAGGGAACATAGAGGTTTTTGAGTTGGTCGAAGAGCAAAGTGATCATAAACCTCCAGGTGTTTCCAGGTTGCTCCAGTATATGTTTCACATACTCGATGAAAAGCCCGGTTTGCCGGACATCTTCGACGTTCTCTGCAATCTGCTCGGCATAGTAGCTCGAAGGAAAGGAGTCTTGATCAATGACCTTGACTCGACATATCTTCAAGTACCTGCCCAGCTGGCAGCCCATAGGGCTTTCCAAAACCACCTTAAACTCCAAGGTGGCGCTCCACAAGGGCGACTCCAAGATGGGAATCTCGATCCTTTGCTCGTAGACTCCACTGGGAAACACCAACTGCCCCTCCACGTGCCTGAGATGCAAAGACCCCTTCTGCTTGGCTGAAGCTCCCCAAGAACCATGGTTGAAGGACGTGAGCAGTTGGGATAAGTCCCTCAAAGCCTGATGAAGTCTGACATCCAACCACCATTGGTCCCATCAAAGGAGGTCAACTGTTTGAACTGTTTGATGAGTACGACTTTCCGGATTATCTGGATCGAAAGTTCGTGCTACAGCAATTTTTATGCAATTTTCAAGAGCAAAGTTGTACTACACTGCAACTTATTGCTTCTTCACCTTGCAAACCTCTCGTAAGTAAGAATCCCTCATCTCTCCTCACCCCCCTCCCCGGTGCGGTCCGCGCGGCTCGTAGCGCTGCCCGGCTTTCCCCGAGGACTCCTCCGTGCGGTAGTTGCAACGGACCTCCCCCTCGAGGCGACCCAAGCGCATGATGCTCACGGTAAAGGCCTCGCCCTCCTCGGCCGGACACGGTCGGAGCTGGGGACGCTCCTCGTCAGATTGATGGTCCGAGCTGTATCATTGATGATGCGTTTTGTTTTTTTTGTGTGATGGATCTATATATTCTACACTACGAGACGCATGGGGCCATTGCCTTTCCACTGATTTGGTGAACCCCGAACTCAAGGCCCACTGGCTTGGGATTCAGGAAAAGGGTCTTCGGGAAAAAAAAATCACGTATTTTATCAGGTCTGTGTCGGTGTTCGGGAGGGTATACCTAGCTGAGTGAGATATCTGGACATTTGTTGTCAACAATGTAGTGCCTCACGACCAGTCACTGGATGGCAGTGTAACTCCTGAGCTTGGAAATATAAAACCTTGTTCATCAACAAGTCGCGTTGCCATTAGCCATGTCTAGGCCACTTGCTCTTAGCTCCAGCTACTTTTGCCCTTCTTGATCGAACACAAACGGAAAAGGCAAAGAGATGCAAAGAGGGTGTCCCCAACGATCAAAAAGGGCTCAAAGGGCCCAATAGGTTTCAAAAAGCCGTACTTTCACTGGCCCAGGTCCATCCGAACCAACCCAATCCATTTGCGAAGTCAACGCCGGGCGTCATTGGCCACAAAAATGGCCGAAGCGAACTGGACGATGTCCTGCCTGGGATGTCAGGGTCGGGAGCCATGAAACAAGCGACATCTTGAGAGCTTCTTGACAAAGGGGTCAGTAGTGAACGACATACTTTATATATATACTTGTGGCCCAGAGGGGGGTGGCGAAAGCTAGGCAAAGAAACAACGCTGGGGCTCTTTAGGCAGCAAAAGCCTGGCCGGGAATCGCAACATGCGATGGCCAACAGAAAAGGAGAGTGCCAACAGCGCCCCCCCAATACGACCCCAACACAGCCAACACATGGCAACACACAACCACCCCAGCAACCGCAGCAGCAGCAGCAGCAGCAACAGCCACAACAACAATAACTGTAACCGTAACCAGCAGCGGCAGCGGCAGCAAGCAGAAGCTACCAAGCAGCAGCAGGAGTAGCTAGCAAGCAGCAGCACCAGCAGCAGCGGCAGCAGCTACCCAGCAGCACCAGCACCAGCAGCAGCAGCAGCAGCAGCTACCAAGCAGCAGCAGCTACCCAGCAGCAGCAGCAGCAGCAGCCACCCAGCAGCAGCAGGAGCAGCAGCTACCCAGCAGCAGCAGCAGCAGCAGCTACCCAGCAGCAGCAGCAGCTACCCAGCAGCAGCAGCAGCAGCTACCCAGCAGCAGCAGCAGCTACCCAGCAGCAGCGGCAGCAGCAGCTACCCAGCAGCAGCAGCAGCAGCAGCAGCAGCTACCCAGCAGCAGCAGCAGCAGCTACCCAGCAGCAGCAGCAGCGGCTACCCAGCAGCAGCAGCAGCAGCTACCCACCAGCTGCAGTAGCAGCTACCAAGCAGCAGCAGCAGCAGCAGCAGCAGCAGCAGCTACCCAGCAGCAGCTACCCAGCAGCAGCAACAGCAGCTACCCAGCAGCAGCAGCAGCTCAGCAGCTACCCAGCAGCAGCAGCAACCAGCAAGCAGCCAAGAGCATCCAGCAGCACCAAGCATGCAAGCAGCAGCAGCAGCTACCCAGCAGCAGCAGCAGCTACCCAGCAGCAGCAGCAGCAACCCAGCAGCAGCAGCAGCTACCCAGCAGCAGCAGCAGCAGCAGCTACCCAGCAGCAGCGGCAGCAGCAGCTACCCAGCAGCAGCGGCAGCAGCAGCAGCAGCAGCTACCAAGCAGCAGCAGCTACCCAGCAGCAGCAGCTACCCAGCAGCAGCAGCTACCAAGCAGCAGCAGTTACAAAGCAGCAGCTACCAAGCAGCAGCAGCTACCAAGCAGCAGCAGCTACCAAGCAGCAGCAGCTACCAAGCAGCAGCAGCTACCAAGCAGTAGCAGCTACCAAGCAGCAGCATCAGCAGCACCACCAGCTACCAAGCAGCAGGAGCAGCAGCAGGGAAAGAATGAGCTTTCCTTAAAGTCTTTCGTGCCCCAACATTTGGTCTCGAACAATAGCACATATAGGTGCTGCCTGAGCAATTGTAGAAGGGCGACGTGGAAAGACAGATATATCTGATATATATGTTTTTTCCACAAATAGATGCTGACGATGCAGCCAGCAGCGGTGTGCATGATTGACATCTAGTGGTTGCATGCGAACATGTGTCAGCGACCGAAGACTCCGTCACAACGCTTGTGCATGCTCCCTGTCGCTCGAACATGGAACGCGGACTACTATGAGTGAAGCAAACAGCCCGTTCAAACATCTTACTGGGTTCTGTCATTCATGTGTGCAGTAAGTATCATCTTTTGATCTGCATGGATAGCGGATAGTGCATTCTGATTTGTACTCTTGGGGGTTGTGGGGTGGGTACATGCCTGTACAAGCTTCGATTCTTAAGGATATAATGAAATTAGCATCGTTTCACGACTCAGAGGGAATGCAGCTAATAGGCTTTCTTCAGCACCAACAGCAGCCAACCAGCAACAGCAGCAAAACGGAGCAGACAAAAAGCAGCAGGCAGCGAGCATCCAGCAGCAGCAAGCATGAGCAGCAGCAAGCATGAGCAGCAGCAAGCATGCAAGCAGCAAGCAGCAGCAACCAGCAAGCAGCCAAGAGCATCCAGCAGCACCAAGCATGCAAGCAGCAAGCAGCAGCAACCAGCAAGCAGCCAAGAGCCAGGCGCAGATGAGATGCCAGCAGCACCAGCAGCGACCAAACAGCAGCAGCAGGTACCGAGGAGGAGAAGGGTGGAGTTGAACCCCGCGAGGAGGGGGGGTGGAGGTCCTGATATATCAGGTGTTAGCACTCAGGTCCTGGGCTCCCACCCTCCTTGCTAAAGCAAGACAGACTCCAGCTAGCTACAGCTAGCTTTCGTGATATATCTTTATAACAATTCTTACGAGACCCCTACGAGCGGCCCAGAAACAAGCACCCCACCAACATAGAATCAAGGCAGACCTTCAGTAATTAGACCAATTAGACCAAAAATCTTCTACAAATGAGTGGTGAATCAGGGCTCCCATGTAAGCCTTCAAGCCTCATTCAATCAACCCAAGCAGCTGATCTGCCAACTCGTCCGGCAGAGGGGAAAAGCTCCCATCGTTCAGTGGCCTCGGAGGGGGATCGCTGACGCCATAGATGTCGTAAGTCTTCAAGCCCAGTGAATAATGACTTACCAAAGGTTGGAGGTCGAACAGTCCCCTCAACCTCCACCCCGAAACGTACCCCAAGCTAAAGGTTGAACACTCCTATGGCCAAAGGGCAGCCTATCCCAGGTAGCCTGTCCCTCTACGTTGGGTCCCACGAGATCTTAAGCCAAAAGAATGAGACATCCGTCATGCCAAACACGGGCGCTCTGATTGGAGGAACTCCGAAGAATGAAGCAACGGAAGCTCCCCCAAAAGTTTTGAGACGTTTTGAGATCGCAGCCAATGACCCCAAACATCAACTGATTGATCTGCATTGACTACACCTTACTGTCGCACACACACACAAATGCCAATAAGACTCCAGACTGGTTGCAAAGCTGAACAAAGTGACTTTCATCTTTCAACATGCCTTACTACTAGGAACAAGGACGCTACTAGAAGCTACTAGTACCAGGGGCTCCTGGCCTTGCTCGCCATATCGTGAAGAACCTGTGATGCAAAACAATGCAGTTAAGCGTCAAACCTGAAAACGCGTCTTGGATTGCTCCAAATTCACCGACACCCTTCATGCAACGAGAGAGCAACGCTTTCCAGTCGTCTAATGTGACGAGAAACGCATAGAGCTTTCCCTTGAAATCCACCTCGCGACTCTGGACACGCGGTACCTTGCTTTTGCAAAGCCCCATGCCGTCCGCGGGGGGGAAAACGGCTCCGCGCTCCGTTCGGAGCCCAAACACTGCGGATGGACAGTCAATCTGCCAAATGCTTTGGTCTGGTGAAGCTTGGGCGAGGATCCTGTCCTCATGTGGTGAAAAAGCAGGTTCCTGCTCCTCCGGATGTCTTCTTGTTGGGCAAAAAGCTCAGAAGTGGCTTCCTCTAGGCGAGTTGCCAAAAGACATGTCATGCAAAACCTCCTCAAGTTGAAAGAGCCATTAAGCATCGAAACGTGGAGTTCCATGACTTGTTCGTCTTTGGAACCCTTAGTTCACTACTATCCTGCAAACTGGACTCACTTGTCCTCTTGCTCAGCTGCACTTGATGAACTTTATGATTTTTCAGACTGAAGCCTGAGGCCTGAAAATACCTGATGCAGCTCAGCTCATGAATCCGAGACTCGACATGATTCGAAGAATGAAGGTGGAGTTCTTTAAGTGAATGTCTGGTCAATCTGTTTCACCGCCATCAGGTCTAAACGACCCACTCTTCCTGAAAAACTCTGACTCTTACGGCTGATGCAATTATGTCTTGTTGTATGCAGGTATGCATTTATAACTATATTATACATGTATACACATGTGCCTGCAAATGTAGACAAAGAGAGAGAGAGAGAGCGGGAGAGAGAGCGAGAGAGAGAGAGAGAGAGCGAGAGAGAAAGAAAGAAAAAGAGAGAGAGTGAGTGAGTGAGAGTGTGAGAGAGAGAGAGGGTGAGCGAGAGCCACAATCCACGCATCCACTCCAAACACCATTTCGATCTTCCCTCCCAAACCAAACTTGTCGTTCTCAGTGTCCATGCCACTTGATTGATGGAATCCCAATCGTCAACTGTTTGGACACTTGTACTTTTTCGTGCTGGGACCTACAATGTACAAAGAGAGCACAAGTAACCATCTTATAACACACCATCCCTGAGCCATGCGGAAACTCAAGCCACTTATATACATATACTCCAAATTCGAAGACTAGTCACTCCGAGGCCCCCCACTTCGACCACCGTGTGGTGCCCTTGCTGCGGCTCGGAGGCCGCCTAGGCAGTATCATTGAAGAATCATAGAAGACCACATGGCCCTCAAACCAACATAGCAGTATCAAAAAATGACCATATGATGTTGACTATGACCATATACCATATGACCATATGATACCATATGATACCATATGTATCATATGACCAACATTAAAATCGTTCTGGGGCAGTGATCTCCAAACCTGCTGGACTTGGTTCGGACTTGCTCAGCTCGGTCCGTGGCCGTTCCGCTCGGCCGCGGTGCGTTTCGGTGCGTGAATCGATGCTGGGGAGGGTCACAAACGGCCGTTTTCGGTGGTGTCCAAACGCAGTGGCCAAATCACTTGAAGGCTCTGGTTGTGGATGGTTATGGCATCCTGAAAAAGACACATCCAAACATCATGCCGATGCTCGCGGTCGGTGGAGCTGCTTGCCAATGAGCTGGACCACCATGACATTGGAACACATCACCCTTGATTTATCCCGTTCATGATCTTCCGCATCAAGTGGTCCAAATGATCTCAGGTCTCATGCTCCAAATTCCTTGGCTGGTTTTTCTCAAAACCTATCAGCTGTCTTTGTCAGGCTGCACTCCCTGCAGATGCTGGCCGCAGCGGCCGGACTCGGCTCATGGCCGCTGCCGTGGCTGCTGTGGCAGAACGGCCTAGCGAACGCGCTGGTCTCGGGAAAAGGAAAGGCTTCCTTTGGCGGACATGGTTCTTAAACCAATACTATACTTATACAGTATGTAAAACTCATATGCATAATTAATCATGGTTATACATTGGGTCTGTTTGTCTATCCTATTGCCAGTAGACTACACTGTGGATGATGATGGTTAGTAAAGGCCTTTCTCTAAAATAGTGATAGTTGCTACAGGTAATAATAGGACACACCAAACTTGTATACTCGATCACTATCAGATGTAGATAGGTCACCATGCAGGACACCGAAAGGAGTTGATTCTGCCATTCTGCAGTTTGACCATCGGAACCATGGACAGAACATCCAAACGAAAACGAAGCGACCTGACCTGGACGCTTATGCGACCTGTGTGACCCCGGGACTTCCGGGAAAAGCTGCTGAGGTACCCAAGGCATGGGCAAATGATGGCAAAATGGCCATGATGGTTGGTACGATCTCCTTCAATCCGAACGTGATGGTTGTAAAAACAGGGCCCTGTAAATCCTAAGGTTGATAAAGGAATTAAAGCTAGAGCTGCAAAAGGCTTACCACCAAGATAAAACATTCCGTAATATGGGAAGAACATGGAAGAATCACATAAAGAAGCAAACACCTTCACACGTGCAACATCTCGTGCAAATGGCACTGGAGATCACTGGAGATTTACAGTAAGATTTGAACCAGAATGACTGAACCTATGGATCAATATCTGGTAGCCAGTAATCAAAGTTTACGAAACATGACCCTCCCAATGCCCTGGAAATCACTCTCAGGCTCTTAGGCTACTTCAGCTACATTAATATTGGTTTTCCAGTGAGGGAATCTGATGTATCCAGTTGTTTTCTGCGGCACGTTTCACTGCGATTGACCGGCGGCGTCCTCAAGGGGCTGTCGCGCAGGACATTCACGACAGCGCCGAGGACACGACTAGACTAGACGCAGGGAGTCCCAGATTGTCACACTGAATACAGAAAAGCTCTTTTGTTCATCATGCTTGGAGCTGCCAGTATGTACCTACAAATCAGGTGGGTTGAAAAGTGCCATGTCCTCAACAAATCACCAAACATCATCAACAAAAGGGCAAAGCAACAAGTGCCGGCTCGTTTGCTCCGTCTCAACTTCAGCCTGCCAACACAAGTCATTTCTCAGGAACCAGGGGCTGAACCAAACGCTCAGGTTATTTTGATTTGCTCTCTTCAACTCGCGGGTAGATGTGAGATGAGATGATGCAATACAACTCGGCTTCAAACAAGAACCATTTCGAAACGCTTGCCATGAAGCCAGCAAAACCCCATTCTCCAACGCTGCGCAGCTACAAACCACCCCCACATCATCCCACATCCATTGTTTCACCATGCCCTACCTAATTTCATAGTTCCATAAGGTTCCATCTGGCTACACCACAACTTGACCTACATTGATGATGATTGATCTAGAACCTGAAGGACATGGTAGTTCTGGAGTCCATGTCGTGGTTCTGATATATTGATGTCGTTTGGATTGAGTCGATTCGATTGGATTCGTCCATGCTTCGGCCTTCGTCTCTGCGTCTGGACATCCTCACCACGGACGGAGCCCGTAGAGGGTGAGACGAAGACATTCCGGTCAACTCAGCTCGCCACGGTGTTCGGTGTGGAACGCTTTGTGGTGCTACGGACATCTCTTTCCGATCTTGCGTGTGAGGACTCTCTATTGTTAGGTCTGGCCCAAGTGTCTGAGCTATGGATCACATGCTTCGTTTTCAAGGGTGTCCGCGGTCAAAATAAACAAAACTACACATGTCTTAAACAAAAATCTGTTGCAAGCTAAACGGCACCAAAAGAGTACTCCAGTTCCGCACCCACTCAGCTATCTCTCAAATCCTTCACTAGTTCAAACTAGCTCGTCACTTGGCCAAATTCAAGGCCACCGTGCGTCGGCCGTTCGGGCCAACCCTAGCTTTGGCTTTGGGTCTGGAGTCCTGAGCCTCGGACATGGGCACGAGGCTCGTGCAGGAAACCCTCAGGTCTTCACACCTTCGACTAATTGGGTTCATGGGGATCACTTATACTTGCGCGGACCCTGGTTAGCGAAGCTTGGCTAAGCCTAGCTTTGACTTATAAGGGTAAGTAAGTCGCTAGGACTTAGCTAAGTCCGAGGAACAAACCCTCCCAAAACACCCTGCAACAGTTGCATGATTGAGACCTCCAACTTGGCTCCAATGTCCAGCTTCTTGAGACCTACCAGTACTGGCTGCTTCGGAGGTTGGGATTGGCTGCTTGTGCACCACAAGTGCAGCTTGGGAATTCAATCCCTTCTAAAACTGCTTGATTGGACGCGCGAGAAACCGGGGTGTGTGGGGTCGCACAGGCTTGATCGCACAGAGACGACTTCACAGGAGCAACATTGCAACATCTGCAAGCCACCAGTCACTAAGCCGTGATGTGAAAGAATGAAACACCCATCCCAGTCGTCAATTTGGTTGGCGACCACCCCGGAGTTGGGCACGAGGGTAATTTATACATACAAGAACACAATATAGATACAATTAGACACATCTAAGTTCGAGCGTGGCCAACAAGCAAGATTAATCAAGTACTTAATCATACGTAATCAAGTGTTGTGAACATCCATTAAGATCCATTAAGATGCATGAGCATCACTCCACCGTTCACCTTGGAATCCATTTGCCATCCTCTTACTGCATTCAACTCCAAGCTTCCATTTCGACGCATTGGCCATCCTCAAAATGCCACACGGCATCCACCGAGGTGTCCGTATTCCGCTCCGCGCTGAAGAAGCAGCTCCGGGGCCGTCGCAAGGATGAGCTCTGCGCCGGCAGGGCCACGCCGCGGTTCGTGACGTACTCGCGCAGGACGGTCATGACACGTTCGGATTCGGCCTCTTCAGGGAACGATGCCGGCAGAAGCGACCGTTTCCTGAGGCCATTCAGAAGCTGGTGGACGTTCTTGCGAGCGTTTCCTGTGTGGACGTACTTGGTGCCAGAGGTACAAAGATGCGAAAACATACGAAAACCAAGTTAGCTACGCTTCCAAAGTTGAAGAGACATGTTGATGAAAGTCTTCTATATATAGGGAATTCAGTGCAAACACTCCATATCTCCCTTGCACTCGCTCCTGATAGCTCTCTTCTTCTCAAATATTCTCGTGTTCCGTGCCTCATCCAGGTTCATCATGGGCTTCTCCAGGATCAGGACTTCTGGGTTCATGATCAAGGCCCGTGCCATGTGAAGCTTGGCTTTCCTCACTGGAAACTCAATTGAAAACAGCAATACCCTAGGGCTCCAAGTACCTACCTATAAAAGGTATTTGGACCCTCCAAACCCACCCCAAGCAAGCACCATCTCAAAAGTACTTGGGGCCCATACGGAAAACACGAAGACTGCATTCCGCAGTCTTCGGTCTTGGGAAGCCCAGGAACTGGATCGGAGCACACCCCGACTCACCATGGAAGTGGAACTCACCATGGAAGTGGAAAATGGCCTACATGGGATGACAAACATCTCCTCTACCGACCTCGGTGGTTTCCACCCAACATGGAACGTGATGGACGTGATGAACGTCGCCTACACATACTTGTGGAGCTTGCTGACGGAGTTTCTCCTGGAAGGACAAGGAGTCTTGCCACCCCGCCAATTTCTTCTGGACATGCAAGGCCTGTTTCGAGCCATCTGCAGGTCTCATGAAGCGCTCCGATGGCGTTGTCTCCGGAACATCCTCGACGTCATGGGAATGACAACATCCGCAGTTTCCATCCTCCATGTCCTCTCAGGGTGGGCTTCCAAGGGCACAAGGCTGCCAGGTTTGCATCTCCACAGGCCATTGCAACCAATGAGTATATATCTCATTTGCGGACCTACTCAAGCAAACACGATTGGCGACACAATAGCCTCTGTGGTGCACTAGGGTACCCATCTCCATTGATTTGGTGCTTATGAAATGATACAAGTCTAAAAACATCTAAAAACCGAGTTGAGGGCTGCACAGCCCACAGGGCACAGGGGAAATGGGTTCATGAAGCTCGATCCCAATATGTTCAGCGCCTGGCCGCCACTCTGGATAGGGCTCTCTAGATACCAGCCAGGCAGCTTGGTTTTGCTGCAGCTATTCAGCAACATACTAACCTCTTAACCTCCTACTCTCATCCACTTCACAACCTACGTTACATAACATAACTGTTTTTTCATCCTTTGATTGACCATGTGGATTGATGGCTTTGCCGCTCCCTTCCTCCTCTTCTTCTGGCTCCTGCAGGAGGGCAATTTCCCGTTCGGCCAGCTGTCGAGTGTTGGTCATTTGGAGCTTGTCCAGGATCCAAAGCATTCGATGCCGTTCCTCTCACCAAGTAGTCAAGGAGGCAAATCCGAGTTGAATGCACAAACTCTCGTTTGTAGTGCCTTGCAGGAGTTCAGCCAATATAATATTATATATTATTATATAAACCTCTTTAGGAGACTTACTTCTCTGCTGTCTTATCGATGCAACAATCTCCCGTGGTCTGATCCAGTAGGGGGTCCCACCTGAGAAAGATGGAGAAAGCCAGCACCCAAAATCCGTAACGTCGGCCCGCCAACGAACACGCCTGGTGGAGAGCACCTCCATCTACGTGGCCACAACGTGTCACAACCTGGTGTAAACAAAGCTGATCGATTTCTTCCGCTTGGGCCAATTCTGAATTCAGGGACGAGTTTACCGCCATTCCCCTTGTTGCAGCGGCCACACACCGGCGGCTTCCGGCTTACCGCAGTCCTCGGGGTTGCTCACGGCGGCTGGATCCCCAAAGAACAAGTTCTGCAGCGGGCTGGTGCCCATCACGAAGACCTGATGAGTCACAAAGCCAAAGCGCAAGTGCGAAGGAATCCTCGGCGTGGGGAACCGAGGCCGAGGCGCCGAGGCGTGGGGTGCTGGCGGCCAGTGGTGTTTGATGTTTTTTTTCTTTTTGGTCGAACAGTTGGCACCACAGTGTGGTGCTACGGTGTTT